GTCGAGTTTTTTTTTTTTTTTTATTGATTTGAGGTTTTAAGTTTGAAATATGACTGTATTTAAAAGTTAACTTGAGATGAAATTGAAACTTCTACAAAAATCTCCATGGATATTGTAATTAGAAAAATTCAAGGCAAATTAAGAGAAAAATTGTTAAAAAAAAAAAAAAATGTTTTGGCGATAGTGAAGGAGCCGTTAGGCCTGGAGGCAACTGTTTCTTATAGTTCACCAAATTTGTTCTCAATTTCACGTCCCATTGGCCCTCTTTCCAATCAAATTTTGACACTTCATTTAATTGCTCAAACGTTTTTTTATACTTAGTTGTCATCTAATGTTTGTCATGGGAACATGTTTTAAATTAGATGATGTGGTAAATTAGTATCAGAAAATTAATTAATAAACTATGGAAATTATAGGAGTATGGGGCAGTAGATCTCAACTCTGCGCCTCCGACGTGTCACGTAAGGAAACGTGTTTAACAATAGATTGAATATAATAACAAGTGGAAGAGCGATGCTTTAAATTTTGATGTCCCATAACATGTATATATTGTGTATGGTCACGAAGTTCCAAGATGGACTCTCGCACATTCCAAGTACCAAATAGGCCGAAAACTTGCCATACTCTATTGCTACTCAGACTAAATAAAAACATTAATTATTTTTCCCCAAGATATATAATATATAGGAATGGTCTTTAGTCCGGTAGCAACTATTTACCTGACTTATCCGATAAGTGATTTTCAACCGTTCGATGAAATTGACGGGTGGGATTCATCACATCCTTGCAGAAGCATTCACAAGTGCTAGCTTCCGTACACTGCAAGTGGCAACTTTTATTGACCATGTGTTGAACGAAGAGAAAAGGGAGAAGGAAGAGTATGGTTGGTGGCCACGTGTATATGTGAGAGACAAGGGATGATGAGAGAGACAAGGGAGATGGCTGCAGGGAAAAAATATATTAAAAAAATGTGAAACCCAATTTTAAAAAAAAAGCTCTTTTTCTGAACAAAAGAAAGAGAGGCTTGATTCGCCAAAAAAAAAAGTGTTGAGGCTTAATCGTTTATGGAGAGGGAAAGAACTTAGTAAAAACAGTAGCTTTTACAGTTTTACAGTAGGCGAAAAATGTAAGGATTGTGTATGTAAAATTTTATTATTTTTTTATGTCGTTTTTATTTTATTTTATTTTTTAAAGATGAAAAATATAAAAAAATTATAAAAAATAGAATATTCATCAAAAAATAGTGCAACTTATTGCATTAATTGCTAAAAATCATATATTAATTTTAGAATGTAAAAAATAAATAAAACTGTACATTTTTTTACCCATCTCGGCCCCTGAGCTGGCCCCTGGGTGCCCCACTACGCGAGTCGGCGGCTTTTTGACAAGTTTTACTTTTTTTGTCAATTTTTGAGGCAATTTTTTTCTGGCATGCCTAGAAAAATGTAAGGATTGTATCTGCAAAGTTTCATTATTTTTTGACGTGTTTTTATTTTATTTTATTTTTTAAAGATAAAAAATAAAGAAAATCATAAAAATATAATATTCATAAAAAAATAGTGCCGCTTGTTGCATTAATTCCTAAAAATCATATATTAATTTTAAAATGCAAAACATAAATAAAAATGTAAATTTTAGTATTTTATATTATATCGAAATATGCTCTTAAGATTTTGTATTTTTAATAATATTAAAACAGTATTTTAATCTTTTTAAAAATATCTTTTTGATACCTTAAAACTAATTTTTGGGACATATAATGTCTAAATTACTTTTCTTATTAGTTAAATAAAAATCAATATCTATTATATATAATAAATGTGATGAAGCAAGCACGTGTCAACTAATTTTTATCTCTTTATAGTACCCTTAACTATTTATATTTTTTACTTATTTGTTATCTATTATTTTCTCTTACTTATGGCTTAAAAAAACGGTTTAATTTGTGTTTCTCTTTATGCCATTCATCTTTTGTACTTTTTACTTACTTATTATCTACTATTTCTCGTACTTAACGCTTAAGAAAAACCCGGTTTAATTTGTGTTTCCATTTATGTCCTTCACCTTTCGTATTTTTTACTTATTTATTATCTACTATTTTCTCTTACTTAGGGCTTAAAAAAAACGGTTTAATTTGTGTTTTCATTTATGTTATTTACCTTTTGTACTTTTTATTTACGTGTTATGTACTAGTTTTGTGTTTCTATTTATGCCCTTATCAATTTTTATATTTTTAATCTACTTGTTATCTATTGTTTTATCTTACTTAAGTCTTAAGAAAAAACGGTTTAATTTGTGTTTCCTTCTATGTTCTTCACTTTTTGTACTTTTTACTTATTTGTTATCTATTGTTTTCTCTTACTTAGAGCTTAAAAAAGGTGGTCAAAGTAAATAATATTTAAATTACATTCTGAAGGTGGCTTCCGAATCTACAAAACTCACCCCATCAAAATAAGCTGTGCGGTCTAAATGTTAAGAAAAATAATAGAGTATGGCGATTAGTTAGAACTTATTTGTTTACATCATAAAATTATTTTTCTAATAGACAATAAATATAACAATCAAATTCATGCAATTGCACGTGCCTACTTTTACTAGTTTCTTAAAAAAAAGGAAAATATTTTAAGACATTAAAATATTTAAAGGAAAATAATAAAATAAAAAGTTCATGATTTTTTTCTAGATTTATTAGATTTTGATTAAGTAAAAGAGTACTAAGGTCATTTTACATCTTAAAAATCAACTTAAGAGTACCAAGAATATATTTTTAAAAATGTTGAGGTGTCATTTTAATATTATCAAGAACACAAGATACTAAAAGCATATTTCGCTATATACATTGTCACTTACGTTCATTAACATGAAATACAACAAATCAGTCAATATACATATTTTTATGCTATGTATTCACTTAATTACCATAAAAAATACATATTTTGAGGATTAATATACATTGTCGTTTCTTATAACTTAACATATACATCTTTATATGCAAATATACACACCTTATATATAAATATACACGAAAACGACATAATTGTACATCTGCCGTTTCAATCCGGTAAACAGTAACCGCCGGACGCTATATACATTGTTGCTTACGTTCATTAACATGAAATACAACAAATCAATCAATATACATATTTTTATGCTATGTATTCACTTAATTACCATAAAAAATACATATTTTGAGGATTAATATACATTGTCGTTTCTTATAACTTAACATATACATCTTTATATGCAAATATACACACCTTATATATAAATATACACATTGGAATGCATGTGTACGCATAGACGCAAACATTCAAATTTCAGCTTCAAACAAGAGCTTTTGCCACCTTGCAATCAATGGAAGTAATCATGTGTCTCTTAATTGGATGGAAATGAAGTCAAATTCCTTTAAAACACTAGTATTAAAAGCTTAGGATTTCCACCTAATCCTGTTATTAAAAAAAAAAAAAAAAAAAAAGGCCCTAAGGTAGATTTCAAGTCATATTTCTGTTCATTAGATCTCACTAAAATCACATCAAAATAAAATATATATATATATAAAATAAATAATTTTTTATTCATATGTAACGGCTAGAATAGATAAAGTTATCGGTAGTGTATTTTTTAAACCCCACCACATAAATCTTCATAAAAAAAATAAAAAATAAAAAAAAAAACCTCCAAAGATCACTTGGCAAGAGAGGCATTATTTTAGCTTTTGTTAAATTTCTGAAATGCACTACTACACTTTGGTTTTATGAGTATCAAAATGAATTCAGCTAACAGTGATGATGGAGAAAGGTTCGTCATCATCTCAGACAAGAAGTGCTTTCAACAGGTTTATGGAACGACATATAATTTGAATTCCTTGTACGTTAAAAAAGTCTCACATGGATCTGAGGACGTTTGGTTGGAGGATTCAAACCATGTTCATATAATTTGAATTCCTTGTACGTTAAAAAAGTCTCACATGGATCTGAGAACGTTTAGTTGGAGGATTCAAACCATGTTATTTGAACCATTTTCGATTTACGTGAATTTTTTGTGAGAGAAAATACTGTAACAAACTATGAATCATGATTCGAATCAGATCAGGGAACGAATCCCTCTACCAAACATCCTAACTCAAGTCACATGGTTTAAGCCATTTTTATTCATGGGCGAAGGTAAACACTTCTGTAACCTTTGTAGTATAACGTATGAATTATAGTCCCTGCTCTAAGCATTCACATTTATACCACCACCATTCTGAAGTGTCTCTATGAAAAAAGTACTACATGAAATTTGTAACAAATTAAGCACGAGTCTTGTTGGATTTTAGCCCGCCAAAAAAAAAAAAAAAAAAAGTAGCCAAAACGCAATATCAATACTATGGCAAAAGGGAAATCAGGATCAATTACCACTGTAAGCCTGTAAGCTATACCATACTAGTCACAATGTCACAGTGAATAAAATTCAGAATTGTAGCAAGATGTGAATCCAAAACCCTGCATTAACATTTCAAGAGTGTAATGAACCTCACATGTGAGAGAACAGGGAGTAGGAAGAAGACCTGTGTAAGAACTAAGAATGATTTTGTGAAACTTCCAACTTTAAGAATCGCCAATATATGCGTGCGCATAAAGACATACAATCAGAGAGATACCTAACTTGAACTCCGAATACATCTCGGCGGAATTACAATGAAAACGCGATCCTTGTTCATTTAAGTTATGAAACACCATGGTTCTAACTGAAATAGAATAAAATTCCAATACCATGAGTACATGTTATGTCAGAAATATGACTAAGCTCTCTTGATTCAAATATATGTCAGTGTGATACCAGTAAGAATGCCAAACTCTATCTGAGCAAGCCTTCCAAAATATTGGCATTTTGGAACAATATCTATTGTCAACAAGAACAGAAATTGCAAGAGATGTAGCCCTTGAAAACAAGTACTTCTAAGAATAAAATTAATGCAACCACAGTGTGACAAGGATATCAAGCCCATGCAAAGTAGGGAAGAAAAAGGTAAAGATCACAATCTATAAATAGAAAACTCATAATTTGAGGGTTACACAAGAAATCATGCATCACTCAACCAGGCATATACTCAACTTACATCGACTTTAAACTCGCAAAATTTCTAGGAATTACAATCTTAAGAATTGTCATACAGACCAAAACTTTATAAAGGCATCTATAAATGCCTTAAAAACAGCCCAAACAGGGTTATCATTTGGTTTTGAAGAATTCTTAGATGCCCCTTCCCATGATTCACTGCCCAAAGAAAAACAAAAGAGAAACCAATAAGTATAAACGATGCACTTAGATTGCCTAATTCAATGAATAAAGCAACATTTTAGACCTCTACGCATCAAAGAACACGAAAAGCAAGAAAAAAACAAAAACAAACAAACTCAACTAAAATTTGAGGTCCAAATTTCTCAGAGTCAATAGGATATACTTACAGATTAATTCTATCTAAAGTTTTGTTACTTTCTTTCTGGGAGCTTCCATCATGTTGGACATCAACTTGATTTCCAGCCTGCTCCTTAGAAGTTTTCGATTGCTCACTCATACTGCCACTTTTGTCATTTAACTTTTCTTTGATGCCATTTGGAGCATTTACACCCTGTAAGCGCATCAGCGATAATGGTGATAATTGTAAACACAAACTTACGAGCTACACATTTTGACCTTCAAAATCAAGAAAGAACATACTTGCAATTTCACTAGAACATTTTCGTGTCATCCTAAGAAAAAAAAAACATGGGTGATATCTTCTTAAATTCCCAGGGGGAAGAAAAAGAAAAAGAAAACCTTCAACATTCAGTAAAAGAATAAAACTCAAATGGAAGTACAATACTAGCTTCAAGTTGCACAAATGCATCCTAGGACGGAGGACTAAATAAAAAAAAAATAATGAAATCCACACCGATAATTGCAGCAGTAAATGTTTTGGCATAACTCACCTTAGCTCCAGGAATTTCCTGCTTTTCTTCAACGGTCACTGACGTGTCATCACTAGATACTTTAACAGCCCCATTTGCAAAATCCTGACTTTCATGTTTACCGACATCATTACAGCAATTCGAGCTTTCCAGCAGTGGATCTTGGTGTTTCTCCAGAGGTTTCTCATCCATTAAGCCAGAATTTTTATCTAATAATGCACTAGAAATTCTAGTCACTTCTTTATCATCCATCAAACTAGATTTCTCAGAGGAATTTGTTCTCTCTGTCTGAAAACTTCCAACCCTAGCAGCTGATTCCGCCTTATTAATGCCCTGTTCAGTAAACGTATTAACCATACCATTTACTTCACTTAACCTTCCATCCATTTTACTTGGACTAGTAACAGAACTCAATGGAAATGTCTCAACTATTACATTTTCTGCAATAGGCGTCACTTTAGACCTAGACGCTGCTAATTCTTCTTCAACATTATCTGCTTCAGAAGGTTCGCTCATCTGCAGCTCCGATTGTGCCAGTTCATCAGATTCATTCTTTCCCACATCTACCTGAATACCATTGACAATAAGTTCATCCTCAACTATCTCGCGTTCACGAGAATCATAATGCCCATGGAAAACTATATCTGCTTCTTCAACAGAATTATCAACATTCTGCTCCACTTCTGCAAGTTCAGGAGCTTGCATCTCTCTGTCACTCAGTTCAACCAATCCCTCATTTTTCTTGTCTGCCAGAGTAGCATTAATAACTTTCCCATTGTCAAAAATCTGCTGTTCACCTTTAGCACGGCAACCATCAGAAACTGAACTTGTCCCTTCACTACCACCTTGATGCTCATTTTTCACTAACTGTAAGTCATTTGATATTGTCAAAGAAGGCCCTATAGCAATTGAACCCAATGGTTCTTCTTCTAATTGATTCGTGATTTGCTCGTCTCGAGTCAACTTAGCAGGACCTAGCACTCGATTTTCTTGGATTACATCTCTGACAATTTCTCGTACAGTGTAGAAAGACCCACCAACTTCCTTATGGGTAAGATTAAGTGATGGGAAATTACCATTATTTAACTTTTGGTACCTGAAAGCAAGGTTGTGACAAAAAAAGGTAATTGAGATTCCAGATAGCTGTTGGAGAAAGTAGCTTTACTACAAGTTTTACTGCCAAGTCTTGTGAGAGCCAATTAAGCCCATGATGTCTAAGTAATAGATAATAAAGTATGAAAGAAACCATAAATAAACAAATTAGTGAGATCTCGATCTGACACAAAACAAGGGTTTCAAAAGTTGGAATTGATCCTTTGATACCACTTATCTTAGCAAAATTCTTCATATAAAATAAAATCTGTACAACAATTAGAGTTGAAACTTAAAATGAAGAGAAAACAAAAGGCAATTACTTCTTTATGAAGGATTCAACCATCGCCTTACGCTCCTCCTTGGAACGCCGAATCCGAGACTTCCTTCCTTCAGACTCATTGCTTTTAGCAAGGGCAAATGTTTGCCCAACCCAGCCACCCTTTATAATATGCATGACATCCAGAAAGTTCGCCACCTTTTAAACTACAGATCTTCATGAAACAAAAGATAAGTCAGAAGAAAAAAACCATCTGAAATAGGAAAATCACATAAAACATCATTCCTGAAAACATATATCACAGGTTTAGCCAACACTAGACATTTGAATAGCCTCCAATTAGACCAGGCACCAACTCAGAATGCACGCAAAATACAAATACGGAGACAACACATAGACATAGTGCGGAATTCAAGACTCAAAGCTATTCAACATGCTAATGTTCAAAATAATGCAAAGTAGTTTTAAGTTTAGCCCTCGAAGAACAGGGGTTATCTCACTTAGCCTCTGACAACGCAAAATGGCACAAAACTTCCCTCTTGAGCTTGTCACAGATTGCAACTCTGGTACTTTCGTCATTGAGATGTCCATTTTTTAACAGTTTTAAGCTCACGGCGATATGGTACCCAAATTTGACCCTTAACCACCCAGTCAGATGACCCACACGATTAAACACACCTTAGTAACAAACGTACCAAAGTTACAACTTATAATAATAAGTTTGAAGGCGAGTTTTGTCCATTTTGAGCTGTAGGAGGCAAAATGAGACGATCCACATTCTTGGAGACTAAATTTGAAATTATTCAAACCCAAAACTCAGATTAGATGCTAAATTAACATACAACTAAAAATGAGCAGTAAACCACCAAGTCATCTCAACCCTCGTATGCCATAAAATGGTTTCAATAAAATAATCAGAGCCCATTTCCAAAAAGTTCAACATCCAGAAATCCAAAACTCAAAATATATAAACTCATGTCATTTTCCAACACCTCAACTAAGACAACAAAACAACAGTAATATTCCCGAAACATAGTAACATCCTTTTTTTCCCTCATTTTGTCCCAATTACACAGAACAATCATAAACAACAAAAACCCACATCCCAGACCACCAAGAAACTCACAATTATCAGCATACAATTCCAGCCCCATTACTAGAAAGTAGAAACACGTGTGTTATGGCACATAATTATTCGGCAAAATCAACAGTCCAAATACACTGTAAACAAAAAGGAAAATGAACAACCCACAAAGTAAAACTCTAAGAACAGCTAAGCTAAAAAAAAAAAACCCAACCATCAGATTTTTTTTTTAAGTTGGAGAGAAAACGGAAAATTTAGAATCGATACTGTTCACAGATACAGTGAAACCAAACAACAAAAATACAAGAAGAAAAAGAAATGGAAATAGAAATTGGAATTCAAGTGAAGGCAGACAAGCAGAAAGTAGTAGTGGAGGTGAAAAATGGGAGGATTATCTTACCAGTTAAGAGAGAGAGAGAGAGAGTAGATATTGGGGTTTTAAAAACCCTACACAGTGAGTTTACTGGAGTACAAAAGAAAAGCCAGACAGACATTGATATCAATTGGTCAGACCTTCTGAAGGCGGGAGGCGCCTCGTTATTTATTTTAATATAGCCATGGAGACACATTGCGGGTCCAGTACTGGGCCCGAACAAGAAAGAATGGGCCTACGAGTCCCGTAATGAAACTGGCGGATTTTACAGAAAAGAATTAGGAGTAGTTCCTTAATTTAAATTTTTAATTTAAATTTAAATATAATTTTATGTGATAATTTTTTATTGTAGTAAAAATATTAGATTTAACTATTTTTAAAAATTTTTTACGATAATAAAATTTAAAATTTAAATTAAAATCGACAAAATGAACTGAGCCTACATATACTACCCTTGAATCATCCTAATGAAATGAGAATTATTCAGATAATTGCAAATAGTAGCAGGTATTTACAGTTTTAAAAGTGCAAAACTTTGCAAAATTTATCCTTTTCCGAGTTCTGCCTTATTATTGGACAAAATGACCACATAAGTCTCCTAAACTTGACAGACTATGCGATGTAGTCTGTCAGACTATGCCTAATGGTCTGCTTAACTATGCTTGATTATGTGACAAAATGACTTCATAATTGTCATAAATTGGCAGACTACGGGATATAGTTTGCCAGACTATTTGTTATACTCTGCCATTTTTGTGTCTTGGTTCTGCAGCTATCATTCATAGTCTACCAGGTAGACTATGTGCTATAGACTATAGCCCATATTCATCAGAAACCAACATAGTTTTGGCAGTTCATTGCTCATAAACTCACAGTTTATGCTTTAAAGATGACATTTTATCCTCTTTTTTTCTGCCATGATAATTTGATTTCTGCTATGCATCACTATTTTCATGGAAATTTATTTCAGGGACAAACTATATTAGGATTCTTATTTATGTCTCGTTCATTTCGTAGATTTGAGTTTTCAATTTAAGTTGAGATGTGATATTTTCTGAGAGCTTTTCACTGTAGCAGAAAAAGTTAGATGTGATATTTTATAAGAGCTTTTTACTGTAAAAACTTAAAACTGAAAACTCAAATTGGTAAAATAAACGAGATCTTAATTACTGCTGTTTAATTGTGGTTGTGGACTGATGAACAAACTTTTATTTTAGAGATTATATGTTATGTTATTTATTTGGTCTTAACTTAAGCTACTGTTATTTAGTTAGGCTAATCATTTATATGTTTTTTACTACTTTTTTAGCGTTGGAAATTGATTTAAATAGGTTGAAATGAGCCACAGTCTGGCAGGCTATGGACTTTAGTCAAGAAGACTATGGCTGGTGGCCGATGTAACTTGTCAGATTATAGATCATAGTCTGACAGACTATGGCCGACACTGATATAACTTGTCAAGCTATGAATCATAGTTTGATAAATTATTGATCATAGTATGACAAACTATGGATCATCGCGCTCAGCAACTGAGACTCGCCTGTCGGCATAATCTGTTAGAGTCTGACAGATTATGACCGGTCACTGACTGGAGACCTGCCAACCGACGTAACTTGACAAACTATGAGTCATAGCATGACAGACTATGAGTCATAGCCTAATAGACTATAGATTATAGCTTGGAAGAATCCAGTCAGTTGGCAATCAGAGACTCGCTCACGAAAAGCAAGAAAAAAACAAAAACAAACAAACTCAACTAAAATTTGAGGTCCAAATTTCTCAGAGTCAATAGGATATACTTACAGATTAATTCTATCTAAAGTTTTGTTACTTTCTTTCTGGGAGCTTCCATCATGTTGGACATCAACTTGATTTCCAGCCTGCTCCTTAGAAGTTTTCGATTGCTCACTCATACTGCCACTTTTGTCATTTAACTTTTCTTTGATGCCATTTGGAGCATTTACACCCTGTAAGCGCATCAGCGATAATGGTGATAATTGTAAACACAAACTTACGAGCTACACATTTTGACCTTCAAAATCAAGAAAGAACATACTTGCAATTTCACTAGAACATTTTCGTGTCATCCTAAGAAAAAAAAAACATGGGTGATATCTTCTTAAATTCCCAGGGGGAAGAAAAAGAAAAAGAAAACCTTCAACATTCAGTAAAAGAATAAAACTCAAATGGAAGTACAATACTAGCTTCAAGTTGCACAAATGCATCCTAGGACGGAGGACTAAATAAAAAAAAAATAATGAAATCCACACCGATAATTGCAGCAGTAAATGTTTTGGCATAACTCACCTTAGCTCCAGGAATTTCCTGCTTTTCTTCAACGGTCACTGACGTGTCATCACTAGATACTTTAACAGCCCCATTTGCAAAATCCTGACTTTCATGTTTACCGACATCATTACAGCAATTCGAGCTTTCCAGCAGTGGATCTTGGTGTTTCTCCAGAGGTTTCTCATCCATTAAGCCAGAATTTTTATCTAATAATGCACTAGAAATTCTAGTCACTTCTTTATCATCCATCAAACTAGATTTCTCAGAGGAATTTGTTCTCTCTGTCTGAAAACTTCCAACCCTAGCAGCTGATTCCGCCTTATTAATGCCCTGTTCAGTAAACGTATTAACCATACCATTTACTTCACTTAACCTTCCATCCATTTTACTTGGACTAGTAACAGAACTCAATGGAAATGTCTCAACTATTACATTTTCTGCAATAGGCGTCACTTTAGACCTAGACGCTGCTAATTCTTCTTCAACATTATCTGCTTCAGAAGGTTCGCTCATCTGCAGCTCCGATTGTGCCAGTTCATCAGATTCATTCTTTCCCACATCTACCTGAATACCATTGACAATAAGTTCATCCTCAACTATCTCGCGTTCACGAGAATCATAATGCCCATGGAAAACTATATCTGCTTCTTCAACAGAATTATCAACATTCTGCTCCACTTCTGCAAGTTCAGGAGCTTGCATCTCTCTGTCACTCAGTTCAACCAATCCCTCATTTTTCTTGTCTGCCAGAGTAGCATTAATAACTTTCCCATTGTCAAAAATCTGCTGTTCACCTTTAGCACGGCAACCATCAGAAACTGAACTTGTCCCTTCACTACCACCTTGATGCTCATTTTTCACTAACTGTAAGTCATTTGATATTGTCAAAGAAGGCCCTATAGCAATTGAACCCAATGGTTCTTCTTCTAATTGATTCGTGATTTGCTCGTCTCGAGTCAACTTAGCAGGACCTAGCACTCGATTTTCTTGGATTACATCTCTGACAATTTCTCGTACAGTGTAGAAAGACCCACCAACTTCCTTATGGGTAAGATTAAGTGATGGGAAATTACCATTATTTAACTTTTGGTACCTGAAAGCAAGGTTGTGACAAAAAAAGGTAATTGAGATTCCAGATAGCTGTTGGAGAAAGTAGCTTTACTACAAGTTTTACTGCCAAGTCTTGTGAGAGCCAATTAAGCCCATGATGTCTAAGTAATAGATAATAAAGTATGAAAGAAACCATAAATAAACAAATTAGTGAGATCTCGATCTGACACAAAACAAGGGTTTCAAAAGTTGGAATTGATCCTTTGATACCACTTATCTTAGCAAAATTCTTCATATAAAATAAAATCTGTACAACAATTAGAGTTGAAACTTAAAATGAAGAGAAAACAAAAGGCAATTACTTCTTTATGAAGGATTCAACCATCGCCTTACGCTCCTCCTTGGAACGCCGAATCCGAGACTTCCTTCCTTCAGACTCATTGCTTTTAGCAAGGGCAAATGTTTGCCCAACCCAGCCACCCTTTATAATATGCATGACATCCAGAAAGTTCGCCACCTTTTAAACTACAGATCTTCATGAAACAAAAGATAAGTCAGAAGAAAAAAACCATCTGAAATAGGAAAATCACATAAAACATCATTCCTGAAAACATATATCACAGGTTTAGCCAACACTAGACATTTGAATAGCCTCCAATTAGACCAGGCACCAACTCAGAATGCACGCAAAATACAAATACGGAGACAACACATAGACATAGTGCGGAATTCAAGACTCAAAGCTATTCAACATGCTAATGTTCAAAATAATGCAAAGTAGTTTTAAGTTTAGCCCTCGAAGAACAGGGGTTATCTCACTTAGCCTCTGACAACGCAAAATGGCACAAAACTTCCCTCTTGAGCTTGTCACAGATTGCAACTCTGGTACTTTCGTCATTGAGATGTCCATTTTTTAACAGTTTTAAGCTCACGGCGATATGGTACCCAAATTTGACCCTTAACCACCCAGTCAGATGACCCACACGATTAAACACACCTTAGTAACAAACGTACCAAAGTTACAACTTATAATAATAAGTTTGAAGGCGAGTTTTGTCCATTTTGAGCTGTAGGAGGCAAAATGAGACGATCCACATTCTTGGAGACTAAATTTGAAATTATTCAAACCCAAAACTCAGATTAGATGCTAAATTAACATACAACTAAAAATGAGCAGTAAACCACCAAGTCATCTCAACCCTCGTATGCCATAAAATGGTTTCAATAAAATAATCAGAGCCCATTTCCAAAAAGTTCAACATCCAGAAATCCAAAACTCAAAATATATAAACTCATGTCATTTTCCAACACCTCAACTAAGACAACAAAACAACAGTAATATTCCCGAAACATAGTAACATCCTTTTTTTCCCTCATTTTGTCCCAATTACACAGAACAATCATAAACAACAAAAACCCACATCCCAGACCACCAAGAAACTCACAATTATCAGCATACAATTCCAGCCCCATTACTAGAAAGTAGAAACACGTGTGTTATGGCACATAATTATTCGGCAAAATCAACAGTCCAAATACACTGTAAACAAAAAGGAAAATGAACAACCCACAAAGTAAAACTCTAAGAACAGCTAAGCTAAAAAAAAAAAACCCAACCATCAGATTTTTTTTTTAAGTTGGAGAGAAAACGGAAAATTTAGAATCGATACTGTTCACAGATACAGTGAAACCAAACAACAAAAATACAAGAAGAAAAAGAAATGGAAATAGAAATTGGAATTCAAGTGAAGGCAGACAAGCAGAAAGTAGTAGTGGAGGTGAAAAATGGGA